GGGATGCACTTGAGCTAAGAGCCCATTACAATGAACAGATTGGGGTCTCCTGTAAAGGGTGATGCATTTATAGGAATGTGGATTCTTTCTATTTAGCACATCTGGATTTTTATTTTATTTTTTTAATTTGATTTATATGCCGGCCTTCTCCGGAGACTCAGGGCGGCTTACAATGCGTTAAGCAATAGCCTTCATACTTTTGTATATTTATACTAAGTCAGCTTATTGCCCCCACAACCGGGTCCTCATTTTACCTATCTTAGAAAGGATGGAAGGCTGAGTCGACCTTGAGCCTGGGGAGATTCGAATTTACTAATTGCAGACAGCTGGAGTTAAATTACAATGCATTAGTCTGCTGAGCTATCCAGGCTCTTATTTTATTTTATTTTATTACTGTATTTACTGTTTTACCCCAAAATTGGATCCTGTATTATATTCTTGTTTTTTTATATGTTGTAAGGCTAATCAATTAATAATTTATTCACCCACCCACCGATGTATCGATCTACATCGCTGTCTGACTGTTCTGTCTGGCTGTGTCTATGTATCCATCCATCCACCTACTTATCTATCTACCTACCTATTTACATATCTGTATCTCCATCCAAAGGGGACGCGGTGGCTCAGGGGCTAAGACGCTGAGCTTGTCGATCGAAAGGTCGGCAGTTCAGCGGTTCGAATCCCTAGCGCCGCGTAACGGGGTGAGCTCCCGTGACTTGTCCCAGCTTCTGCCAACCTAGCCGTTCGAAAGCAGGTAAAAAATGCAAGTAGAAAAATAGGGACAACCTTTGGTGGGAAAGGAACAGCGTTCCGTGCACCTTTGGCGTTGAGTCATGCCGGCCACATGACCACGGAGACGTCTTCAGATAGCGCTGGCTCTTCGGCTTTGAAACAGAGAGGAGCATCGCCCCCTAGAGTCAGGAACGACTAGCACATATGTGCAAGGGGAACCTTTACCTTTACCTTTTATCTCCATCCATTTCTCTCTATCCATCTGTCCACCCATCTATATACATATCCATCTATAAATACATACACTCATTTATCTTCTTACTTATCCATTCATCTATTCACCTCTCTCTCTCTCCCCTCCCTCCCTCCCTCTCTCATGTTTTGAAAGGGAGATCATATCCAACTTCCTGCAAATCTGGTCTATGGCTATAGGTTCCAGGGCCTGAAAGTGAAAGCGGATTCCCTAAAAGTTTCCTCCACTCTCTCCTTTTCTTCTCTTCCATCCATCTCAAATTTGGTGGCTTCCCTTGAAGCTTCTTCTTTCCAGATGGAACATATGTCCCACCCTTTCTTTTCTCTTAAGTCTTGCCTTCGAGCAACTCATTGCTCTGACTCACGTCTAGATGGAGGACGTACAAAGTGTTCAAAAGCCACTTTACTGGCCTCGTTAGTTGGGCAGGGCAGTAGTCCAATGTGGGATTTTCCTCCCCTCCTTTCCTGTTCCTTTATTCTTTCTCCCTTCTTCCATTCATACTAATAAGCCGTTGATAACTTTCTGGAACTGAACGCAGTTAGCACTAAGAGCCCGAGTCCGGTCCTTCAGGGCACCATGAATTGAATTAACATCATTTTAAAGTCCATTGGCACAGATCAGCCCATCCACAAATGCACACCCCAGAAAATATACATAGTCTTCCTGTTCTCATCTGCTACAGAGGCTGCTTGATGCCACATAGAAAGGCGGCAGAGGCAGCAATAGGAAGAAGAAGAAGAAGAAGAAGAAGAAGAAGAAGAAGAAGAAGAAGAAGAAGAAGAAGAAGAAGAAGAAGAAGAAGAAGAAGAAGAAGAAGAAGAAGAAGAAGAAGAAGAAGAAGAAGAAGAAGAAGAAGAAGAAGAAGAAGAAGAAGAAGAAGAAGAAGAAGAGAGAGGAGGAGGAGGAGGAGGAGGAGGAGGAGGAGGAGGAGGAGGAGGAGGAGGAGGAGGAGGAGAAGGAGAAGGAGGAGGAGGAGGAGGAGGAGGAGGAGGAGAGGAGAAGGAGAAGGAGAAGGAGGAGAAGGAGGAGAAGGAGAAGGAGAAGGAGAAGGAGAAGGAGAAGGAGAAGGAGAAGGAGAAGGAGAAGGAGAAGGAGAAAAGGAGGATGGATGGACAAGAACAAGAGCAGAAGTGAGGGCTGGAGACCCAGAAGGATATCTTCTCTTCCCCACTTGTTGGGAAGGAGATTTCTAGAGTTACAAGCAGATTACATTCAGATGATATTCTCTGCAATTGCTTGGAGAGACTCCTCCATGAGAAAGAGATTAGAACTAAGGCAAACTAAAGTGAGAAGAAGCATGAAAAAAGGGTGTATCACGTTTTCCCTGGTGTTGAGGGAGGATTGGCCTCCCTTTCCTTCAGCATCTTGGGTCTGTTCTGACCTAGGCTCCCTTAACAAACAGGAGGCAGGAACTGGTCCCGGCAAAACCTCTTTTATTTACACGACTGTGAATTACGTTCGTTCACAGTCAGCAAGGTTTGTCCAAACAGTTTTTCAAAGGAATATTTCTCAACACACCTTATCTCGTTTGGCAAGCTGCCACGTAACTTGTTTCCAACTGCAGTACAAGGCAAAACTTGGCACAGAGTCTCTCAGAGTCACGGAACGAACGAATTGTTTCCTGCAAAAGCCCACTCCCTGTTCGCTCCTCTTTTATTTCCTATGAGAGGGGCCAACTACCTCCAAGGTGTGGCTTTACTCTCGAGTCGACCCTGCTTTCGGAGTTGTTCTTGTCTTCTGGCAGCTCTGCACATGCGCGGACTGGGAACGGGCTCCAGCTGTTCCTCTGCCTCGCTGCTGTCTACCTCCTTTTCTGCCTCCGATGCAGAGCCCTCGTCTGAGCTTTCCCCAACCCCCAGGACTGGCCCAAGTTCCTCCCCAACCTCCTCACTGTCTGACTCTGCTGGACATCGGCGGGCCACAACAGGGTCATCCAATGAAGCTGAATGGCAGGGATAGAGGATCTGGGTCTGAGAAAAGGAAATTCTTCACATAGGTTATGTTTAACAATATGTTTTTTGGATGGCTTTTTTATAGAACAGTAGAGATGAGGGAGGGTTTCAAGGCCAATCTTCCATTCATTGAGGGACTGAAATTAAAGCACCAGCAGCAAGTGCCTGATTGATCAAGGGTATCCAACAATCTTCCTAAGATCATCTATCCTACTACTGAACTGCTCTTACTCTTGATTATCTAATGGTCATATTGGCTTTAACCAGGGGTGAAATGCTCCCGGTTCAGACCGGCTCAGGTGAGTAGGTAGCGATGGCGGCGGGCATTTCGGAGAACCGGTAGCAAAAATCCCTGCCCCCGCCCCCCCAAGCCCAGCTGAGCCGCGCGATCATCAGAGCCTTTTTTTCCTTTTAAATGGCTCTGACCAGCTAAGCTCTGACGATCCCAGCTGAGTTGCCTGCTAATCAGGCAACTCAGCTTGGATTGTCAGACCCGTTTAAAAGAAAAAAAGTTGCTTAAAGTTGCCAAGGTTGGAGACCCCTGTACTATTGGGTAAGTTTTTTTCCCCTTTGGGAGCTTTAAAAAAAATAGTTAATTGGGGGTTTTTTTTAGTTGTTCTTTTTTTAGAACCTAGCCATTTAAAGTTTAGGAAGTTTTAAATTTAGCTGCTTTTAATATAAAAATAAAAATAAAATAATATTTGTGCAGCTTTCTGAGATTTAGTGTGTTTCTGTAGTGTTTCACTCTAACTACACAAACACACAAAATCTCACAAAGCTGTATGTGGAATTTTGTGTGTGTAAAGTGTGAAAGTTGTTTTTGGGGGCTTTTTGTGGCTGTGTGAGGTTCCTGCTGGTTGCAGGGGCCATTCTGGGTCTAGCACAGCTGCTTTTACATTGTGGGTGAGCCAGTTGTGTTGTGTTGTGTTTTGTAGGTTAAAAAAGGGCAAAAAAGTGACATTGACTTGGCCATGCCCACCCAGTCACCTTACCACCAAGCCACGCCCACTAATGAAGCCACGCCCACAGAACCGGTAGCAAAAAAAATTAGATTTCACCCCTGGCTTTAACTCTTGGTAACCACAGGGATAAATCTTCTCCAAGTTGATCTGGAGAACCTGGTTCTTTCGATCTCCTGGCAGTCTGTCTATTACCACTCTAAACAAGTCCATCAACCTTGCTACAGGTCATTCTCTTCTCTTTCCTTCTAGCTTTTCCAATAATATCAGCTTCTCAAAAAAAGCTAGCAGTTCTTACCGTTCGGAATGTTTCTTTCATATTCATCAGGAATCCGTCTCCTTGTACTTTAAGGCCATTATTCAGTGCTCTGTACTCAACAGGAAAGAACAGCTTGTGTCTTGTAGTGTGCTTGAAAAAATACAATTATGCCCCCTCTCAGACTTCTTAAAGGCTAAACAGATCCGGCTCTCTTGATCTCTTCAAGTCCTTGTTAAAATTGGCTCCACGAAAGGATTCAGGATTTTGAAGAGTCTTCTCTAAGCAGAGTTCAGGACCAGGCAACCTCTACAGAATCCCTTTCAACCGAGTTTAAAATGTTATCATTTTCTTTGTGTTGCTCTCCATCAGACGTCCACAAAACCTGATCGCTCTCAACAGATGCTTTTGTATCCTGACCTGGGGTCCAAGGCGATTAAAGAGCTGGACCAGGAGTGCTAAAGCTAGTCTTGCGTTATGGATGAATGCCACCTGGTGACCTTGGACTCATCCCTCCTCCTCAACCCTAGGAAGAAGACAAGCACAAACCACTTCCATCATGCTAGCTAGAAACCTTCATGAACTTGTCCATGTAAATGTCAAAGGAGTTTAAAACAGGGGTGAAATGCTACCGGTTTGCACCGGTTCGGGCAAATCGGTAGTAATAAAAGCTACCAGTTTGGGCCAACTAGAAGTAAAAAAAAAAGCTACCAGTTCGTCCGAACCGGTATTTCTAACGATCAGCTGTACCACGTGATTTATATTAGCTAGAAAACAGGAAATCCTGCTTTCTAGCGAATATAAATTGCGCGGCACAGCTGTTTCTCCCCCCTCGCTGTTCTACTTACCTTCAAAAGGCTCCTTTTCCCATGCGACGCGTGCATTTGGCACGCACGGTGCATGCGCGGGCAGCGAACTGGTGGCAACCCACGGAGGATTTCACCCCTGGTTTAAAGGGTCCAAATGCAACGGCTGAGGTGAGAAATGTCCAAGCAATGTTGTCCCACTTCTGCAGGCAAGGGTGTGATTCTCCTGGTTCGCTGTAACCCTGCATTTCAGGACTTTTTTCTTTGGTTGTTTTTTTTTTTTATGAATTTCTCTTTACTGATTAAGTTGGTTTGGTGACTCATGTTCTTTGTTCCTCCTGAGCTACTTATCTGGACAGGGATAATTGCAGGAACCTCTTTCTTTTTTTTTCACATTCAGAGAAAGCTCTGTCACCCTCTGTTGATTCCTTTGCTAGACCTCACAAAGCAATTTGAGGCTTCTGAAGGGAAATAGGTTTAAATGATTACATCCCTGTGTGATTAAAAGAAAAATAAAAAGAAAGGGGAGGAGGCCACATTTTGTGTAAGTTGGCTGCGAAATGTATGATTCACAGAGGGCACGGAAGGGTGGACTGAAGACTTTTTCCAGAATGCTCCCGGATGTTCAGGGCAATTAAGTCTCTTCCCCATGTTATGCAAATATATAAAAATGGGTATCAAGTGCAAAAGGCAACAGAGGAGAGAGAGGGAAGGAGGGAGGTAGAGTGGGGGAGAGAGAGAGATACAGACACACTAGTCTAGCTACAAATAGGCCCTCCATGGCTGACTTCTCACATCCTATTAAGCCCAAGATACTTACTTTTTGAGGGATGCGGTGGCTCAGTGGCTAAGACGCTGAGCTTGTCGATGGAAAGGTCGGTAGTTCAAACTAGGGTTTGAATCCCTAGCGCCACGTAACGGGGTGAGCTCCCGTGACTTGTCCCAGCTTCTGCCAACCTAGTAGTTCGAAATCACATAAAAAATGCAAGTAGAAAAATAGGGACCACCTTTGGTGGGAAGGGAACAGTGTTCCGTGTGCCTTTGGCATTTAGTCACGCTGGCCACAGGACCACGGAGACGTCTTTGGCTTTGAAACGGAGATGATCACCGCCCCCTAGAGTCGGGGACAGCTAACACATATGTGTGAGGGGAACCTTAATCTTTACTTACTTTTTATCTTGGCATCTTTTGCAAACCTAGATTATGGTTTACAAGCAAAGATCTAAGGCTAAGCCCATTCTTTGAATCCCAGTCAGCTACAAGAAACCATAGCTCGAGACCACATGTGAAACCACGCATAGGTCATCTGTGACTTAGCAACCACAACTGAGCCCAAAAATTTCTGTTGCTAAGTGAGACAGTTATTTAAATGAGTTTTGCCTTATTTTACAACCTTTCTTGCCCACAATTATTAAGTGAACCATTAGGTACACGGTTGTTAAGTGACTCTGGCTTCCCCGTGGACTTTGCTTGTCAGAAGCCACAAAAGGTATCACATGACCCCTGGGGCACTGCAACCATAGCAAATATGAGTCAGTTGTCTTAATTTTGATCACATGACCATGAGGATGCTACAACGGTCATAAGGGTGAAAAATTGTAATACATATCTTTTTTTCATTGCTATTGTAACTTGGGTCAGTAAATGAAAGATTGTAAGTCGAGTTGCAAAAATTGCAATGAAACCCAACTGTACTTGGAGCAAAGCCTCTGTAGGACGTAGGCTTAGGCCCTACGTTGTTTAGCCTTGGTCATGCTACAGGACGCCTGTCAGGTTTCGAGGTCGTCTCAATTAAATTGCATTTCAAACAAAGTCTTTGAAGAAAACTCCCATTTTTTAAGCACGACATTCAAAGTCCGACTCCATCGTAGCCAACACTGACTTCCAGACCCAAAACCCTCCCTTTCCATTCCTCCCTCCCCTGCACTCATTGGCCATCTTCCAAATCACTCTGCCCCTAATCTACTGCTCCAGCTCAAAGGAATTTCCCCCCTCCCATCCCATCTCCTAGGGGATATTATCTCCAGGGAAAATAAGTAGGTGAAAAGTCAAACGTCCCTTTCCAGACGCCTCCGCTTCTCCTTCTTATGTCAGCACTAGAGTAATTGCAGTTTGAAGTGCTGACAATGCCTCTATTTTGTAGCCAAAGACTTAACACGATTTCCCTCCTCCCTTCCTAACTCTTTCTGATTCCCCTTTAATGCTAATAACCTGCAGAACAAAATCAGTGCAATTGACTTCATCAGAAAGTCAGTGATGTTGTAACTTTGGACAATAAATGAATGGTTGTAAGTCGAGGACTACCCGCAATGATTGTCGTGTTTCCTCAAGCGAGGAGGTGCTCTCTAGACAATTTGCAAGCAAATCAAAGGTGAAGGAAACATTTTCTTCTGAGCTCTCAGTGACAATAATTGACGTTCACCTGCAGAGTTGGGACTTCAAGGAAGAAAGTGGAAGTAACTTGGTGTTCCACCTTTTCACACCGCTCCAGTACAAAAAGCAACTGTCTCGGTTCAGAACATGCGCAAAGGCACACTCTGGTTGAATTCTAACTAATATATCGTTGACTCCGATGGACGACAGCCAAGACCTTGTCTGCTAAAAAAAAAATCCAGAGATTAAAATGCACCTGTCTTAAAATTCGGTTGAAAGCCAGGAGTGGACTTCAAAAATTTTAGTTCTCTGCCTGGTTCCTGGGTGGGTGTGGCCATGGCCTAATCGGCCTCCTGCACCACAGTGGAAGGGGGGGGCATTTTCTCCCTTCCTGGGCTCCGGAGGGTTTCCTTGAGCCTCCGGGAGGGCAAAAATGGCCTCCCCAGGCTCTGGAGGCCCTCTAGAGGCCAGAAATGGGCCCGTTTCCAGCCTTCCTGAACTTCCGGTAGGCCCATTTTTTTGCCCTTCCTGAGCCTCTGTGCACGCCCTGCACTTACCTGCATCCAGAATGGGTCACATGGGGACTCCTGGGAGGGGAGGGGAGGGGTGGGCAGGGCCAGCCAAGAGTTGGATTTGGGGGTTCTCTGAACTGCACAGAATCTTAGCTAGAGGTTCTCCTGAACCCCTGTGAACCCCCAGCAGCCCCACCCCTGTTGAAAGCTTCTGTTCGGCTTATGGAGATAGGAGAAGGGACTGAGGTTTTTTTGGATAAGTTGGCAATCAAGAGTTCCTTTGCTTTTGGTGGTTATACGTAGATCCTCGTTCACACCTGCATTTTTCCTTAGCAGCTAAGGTTTCTACAAATGATGTTGAGATGTGGAGACTCTAGAAAGAGTGCAGAGAAGATCAACAAAGAGGATTTTAGGGGACTGAAGGCTAAAACATACGAAGAACGGTTGCAGGAACTGGGTATGTCTAATTTAATGAAAAGAAGGACCAGGGGAGACATGATAGCAGTCTTCCAATATCTCAGGGGCTGCCCCAAAGAAGAGGGAGTCAAGCTATTCTCCAAAGCCCCTGAAGGCAGGACAAGAAGCAATGGCTGGAAACTAATCAAGGAGAGAAGCAACTTAGAATTAAGGAGAAATTTCCTGACAGTGAGGACAATGAATCAGTGGAACAACTTGCCTCCAGAAGTTGTGAATGCTCCAACACTGGAAGTTTTTAAGAAGAGGTTGGATAACCATTTGTCTGAAATGGTGTAGGGTTTCCTGCCTAAGCAGGGGGTTGGACTAGAAGACCTCCAAGGTCCCTTCCAATAGAATAACATTCTATTCTAAATGCAAAGGGGGGGAAAAAAACCCCTGTATTTTGCAAAGAAGAAAAGAAACCCTTTCCTCAAAGTTGCAGCTTTTAATGGAAAAGAAAGATGTTGCCTGCATGGGCTGTAGATCTAGAGAGCTATCAGCTCGGTTTTATCCAATTTCAATTAAATTTGAATAAAAGCCAGAGTGGTACAGTGGTGAAGGTGTAAGATTGATTGGGAATAGCCAGGTTCCAGTTGAACATCAGCCTTGCAAGCTTCCTGGATCACTTAGCTAGTGGTGATTTGAGCCTTAAAATATGTCGCAGAGGAATTTTGCAAAAAGAGTGATCTGTATCAATACAGATCCATGGAGGCAGGTAGGCAGGCTAATTATTTCGGAAGGCCAGTAGGTTATTTATCATTATTATTGTTTAATTTATTTGCTGCCTATCTCGCCACGGCGCTGTTCTATGCAGCTTACAACAATAAAAAGGAAGAAATGAAGAGTGTAAACAGAAGTAAAATAATAAAACAATAAAATAAACAATCAAAAAAGAACACAAAGAGAACACGTCAGTACAATAAAAAGACGGATGGGTAGACAGCAGTTATAGCAGTTAAAGCGGTTAAGTCACTAGACTAGGAACAGAAAGATTCTAGTTCTGATCCACCATCAGCCATGTAGAAGACTGGAGATACAGATACAGGTAATCCTCAATTTACGACCAAAATTGGACCATAAAATTCATTGTTAAGCAATGCAATCATTAAGTGAGGCATCACATGTCTACACCCTATTTTTACAATCTTTTTTTGCCTGCGGTCATTAAGAAAGGCATCGCATGACTGTGACTAGTGATGTTCGGTTGGCTTCCCCGTTGACTTGACTTGTCAGAGACCACTGAGAAGGTAGCAAAAGGCTGTTCATGGGACACACACACACACACTCCGGATGCTGCAACTGTCCTAAATATCTGCCAGTTGCCAAGCACCCAAATCATCATTGGGTGACCACAAGGCTATTGCGATGGTCACAAGCGTTGTTTTGCCTGCTTTGTTGTGCTTTTTTGATGATGCATCTATCTATCTACCTATCTATTGTATCTATCCTACTTATATGGCTGCCCATCTCACAAGGGAATGACTCTGGTCAGCATACAGCTGTGAATTAAAAAGAAAAAAACAATAAACGTATAAAATTGTCATCATTAAAAGCTATTAAAAACTATAAAAATAATATTTAGTAATGTTGCTTAAAGAGCTCTGAAGGAAAGGGAAGGGGAAGGAGATAAAAGGGATACATCTAGATTTTGCTTGATTTCTTTTTCCCCCCATCTGTCTTTTATCTATATCTATCATAGTTGATATTGAAACTTGGAAGCCTTATCATCATCTCCTCACTCACAGTCTGGAGAAAAGTGAGTTTCATATAACGTTTCTGCTCTGAAAAAGCCACTTCTTTTTGCAGGCTGTTATTCCCAATATTTTTGCTTTACTGTACTGTCATCCTTTTCACTGGAGATGGTAGGATTCAAACCCTGGACCAATCATCCCTCTCCCATCCCCTCAAGCAACCAAGAAGGGGAGCAATTCATCAGATAATAACTTGACTGGCTGACACCAGATCCTTGTTAACTGCTCATCTCTCAGCAGGCAAGGGACAAGCATTGCCTTGCTCTGTGACCTGTGAATTATCACCTTCAATGCTTGACAGAAAATTAGCCCATCCTAGCTGTATTTCATCCTACTTAAGGCTTGGTGCCACTTCTTATTCTTGGAATAATTGAGGGATTTATTTATTCACCCTCAAAATGCTCTGGAAACATTATTGAAGCAAGGCCGTTGAGGGAGCTTCAAATTTAAGCTTCAAATTCAAATCTTTAAAGCAAGGGTGTCCAACTTTGGTAACTCTTAAGACCCGTGGACTTCAACTCCCAGAATTCCCCAGTTCCATGCCCCCATCTCTCCTGACCCGCCAAGTGGGGTGGATCAAATACTGGTAGATAGCTAGGCTAACACACAGATGGAGGGAAGGAGGGAGAGAGAGAGAGAGAGAGAGAGAGAGAGAGAGAGAGAAATTTATTTATTTATTTATTTGCCATATTTCTATGCCGCCCACTCTCCGAGGACTCTGGGCGGCTTACACCAAAGACAGTATACTAAATAGCATATTGCCCCCTAACAATCTGGGTCCTCATTTTACCCACCTCGGAAGGATGGAAGGCTGAGTCAACCTTGAGCTGGTGAGATTTGATCCGCTGATCTGCTGAACTAGCAGTCAGCTGAAG